CTGTTCCATATTCTTTAAATTTGGGTTGCTTATGCTATTCCATTTTAATACCATGATATACTTTTTACAACAAACCCTTCTGCGCCAAGGTTGGGTTAATCAGCTTTTAAAGATTTCAATTTTTTTTTTCAGAATTAGTTATGTTAGGTGAACGGGATAGGGACCTTCTACACCAAGAAGTTCTTCTTTTCCTCACTTACCTCCATGTTCTACCTTCATTGATAGGGACCTTCCACACCAAGAACTATTGGCAACGGCATCACTTTTCTTCATTGTAGACGGTAATGCAACGCGCAAGTTCAACTTTTGCATGCCTCAACAAAGTGAGAATCGTTGGATCAAGAAAGTAGTATGTGGACGGTACATATCACATAGGGAGAGAGGTTTAGAGAAAATGTAGAGGGAAGATCTGGATCCTCTAATTTCTTCTCATGGTGAAGATGGAAACTCAGCACTTGCATTTAAAAGTGAAGCAATACATTAAAAATAAAATAAAATAAAGCTAATATACTATAAATAATAAAAGAAATTACCTAAATACTGCACCGTGAAAAATACTTACCAAAACAATGCACTAAAATTGTTGAAACCGAAAATTATTTTATAGTTATGAAGAAATTATTCATACCAAGAATGATTTACTAGTTAGATATTATTTTTTTATTTAATGAAAGGTGAAATCGTTCAAGTCAAGATCGATTTCAACTTTTTTTTTTCCATAGATTTGACATAATATTCACTGTCAACCACGATAATATCTTACTTTCCTATATTATTATTATCACTTCTTTTCACCTTTCCCAAACATACTCAATTCAAGTTTTATTACATGGCACCTTTATCATTATCCCTTTTCAACTCACCCACTCCTACTCATTTTAAATCGTTCATGCCTTCACTTAATGATCCTGCATTATTTTCGACTGAGTACAATACTTCTTCTTTTGAATATGGTGGACCATCAAATGAAGCATATATCACCCCCTGATGGTCAATTTCTTAGTTGAATTACCTTGGTTTGCTTTAAATATGCTTGCTATACAAATAAATGAAACACTTAATTTCAAGAAGATAGGGAGATACAACAATAATAATAGCCACAACATGTGAGAAGAAGAATAAGATGTGGTGCTGGAAGTCACTATTATGAGGTAACTAATTTTCACTTTTCATTCATATAACTTAATGATTTATTATTAATTTATTAAATTAAAAAATATCAATAATAAATAAATAATTATTAGGTTTTATGAGAATCAATCATAAATGATTAAGTCATATGAATGAAAAGTGAAACTTAATTTACCTAACAAATAGTGATTTCAGTGCCACATCTTGTTCTCCTTCTCATACTTTGCAGCTATTATTGTTGTTGTATCTTTCCATCTTCTTAAAATTGAGGTAAATTAATTTTTACTTTTCATTCATATAACTTAATGATTTATTATTAATTTATTAAATTAAAAATTATCAATAATAAATAAATAATTATTAGGTTTTATGAGAATTAATAATAAATGATTAAGTTATATGAATGAAAAGTAAAATTAATTTACCTAACAAATAGTGACTTTTGGTATCACATCTTGTTTTCTTTCTCATACATTGTGGTTGTTATTGTTGTTGTATCTTTTCATCTTCTTGAAATTTAAGTATTTCATTTATTTGTGTAGTCAACGTATTTAAATCAAACCAAGGTAATTCAGCTAAAGAAATTGACCATTGAGGGGTGACATATGCTTCATTTGATAATCCACCATATTCAAAAATAGAAGTGTTGTATTCAATTGAAAATAGTATAGGATCATCAAGTAAAGGCATGAATGATCCAAAATGAATAGGAATAGGTGAGTTGGAAAGAGATAATGATAATGATAAAAAACTTGAATTAAGTAAGTTTGGGAGAGGTGAAAATGAGTGATGATGATAATATTGAGGAAAGTAAAAGATTATCATAGTTGACAATGAATATTATGTTATGTTAATAAAGAAAAAAGTTAAAATCATTTTTGGTTTGAACGATTTCACTTTTCATTAAATAAAAAAAATTTCTAATTAGAAAATCATTCTCGATTTAAATAATTTCTTCACAACTATAAAATCATTCTCAATTTAAAAGATTTTCAATGTAGTATTTTGGTCTGAATGATTTTTAGTGTAGTATTTTGATAAATACTTTCCATTGTACAGCATTTAGGTAATTTCTTTTATTAGTTATAGTACATGGGTAAAAAACCAAATAAAATGTATAAAAATTCCTTGAATTTAAAAATAGTTGCATATGATCTTATCTATACTTAAAAGTTTAAAATTAACTTCCTAACTTTTAATATTTTTTGAAGCCCCCTACAATTAATTAACTTTATTATGTTATTAATAAAGTTTGACATGTCAAATTAATGGAATACATATGGCATATGACATGTAAAAATTATTTTTACTAATTTTTTAACATAATTTAAGGAAGGACAAAACTATAATTTTTTACTTTAAAGTTTAAACACGTATGATGATGCTCTCATTTTTTTAGTTTTGAGGAATTGACTTTGTTCTTATTGTTCTATTAACACGATTTAAGATAAATTATAATTTTATTATTTTTATCAATTAAAAAGCCTTTTATGTTAAAGAGATGAAAAGAAGAATATTTAAAAGTTACCATTAATAAAAATTACATAAATAAAAATTCATCCTTTAATACAATAAAAAATATGCACTATTAATAACAAAAAAACATGGATAAAACTAATACAAAAGTAAATATTTAAAAAATTATAGTATTATAGTATTAACATTTAAATGTAAGGAGAATTATACGTAACTACATTAAAATTTAGAAAATTTAATACATTTTAGCCTAAAAAAATTAAGTGCCAGGATGTAATTAATGGTGAATTGCCATTGCATTGATAATAAATTGTAGATGTACCAGTAAAACTTGACTAATGGTGTCAATCATCACTCACCGTAAAAAAATGTAATTAATAGCAGTTTGAGGGTGCAACAAAATTGAATACTACTAAGTACTCCCTCCATTCTTATTTGTAGAAAAAAAATTATATCACATAATTTAAAAAAATTAGCTAACTATATTAATTATGTCAGTAAATACTCTTCATTAATTGTGTTAATTAAGCTTTTATTGATTGTCTTTTATAACTATGAATGATAAAATTATAAAGGATAATTTAAAAATTTTGCAATAAATATTTATTAAAAGTGTAATTTTATTTTGTTTATATTAAAAAAATAAGTTAAGAGTGATAGTTTTTTTTATACTTGAAAACAGAGAAAATACCCATTAATTATTACTAGCAATCTAGGTAAACATTGACAACGCATTTGAATTGCTGCGACCAGATTGATAAGTTGTTATTACTAATTGTACCCATATAATGATTTAATTTGCACAAAAAAATGCACTAGATATAATACAGTAAAATCTTGTTATATTATCTCGCAGTGTTTGTGTATTTTTTTTAAAAAAAAATTAGTTCCTTGTAGAATTATCTTCAAACTCACGCTTTTCATGATAAAATATTTCTAGGTTGATTCCCACAAATAAAATAATTATCAATTATATATATAAATGATAAATACGTATGAAAGATTGTATAAAAAAATTATCTCGTACATACGAAACCAAAATAGAATTTTACAAATTTCCCCCTTTAGGTTCAAAAGTTGCATTAACTTATTCATATATAGATATAAGAACTAATTGAGAGATTTGTTTCGAGCCTAAAAGCAAGTTTTAATACATGTTTATTATTTTTGTTCTAAACAATTTCAATAGTTATATTTTCGTATATTGTATAAGCTAAGCTGATGATATTATAATGTAAATGATTAAAAGAAAGTTATTTTAGAAAAAGTAACACGCATCTTTTTACAAATCACTAGCATAATTTCATTAATATGGATGAATTAGCCAAGTAACTCTTATACTTGGGATCAAAGGAAGAATTACCAAACATTGCTTTGTCCACACGCATCACGCACCTAGCAAGTGAGTGTGAGGCGAGTTTAGCAAACGTAAAGAGGGACACAACACATCGTTGGAGACTTGCGCCGTGCGAATAATAAATGATGCCTATCCTCAGCGAAACGGTTGATCATCACTATCAATTATCATTACCCTAAAGGAATGGCCATCAAATTCCTCCACTGATATCAAACTTCAATTTAAAAACAAATGAAATTTAGTCAAAGATGGAATCACTGATTATCAGGCTGGCTGATCCCAAGGGGTGCAAAAGTCGAGAACTTTAGCATCAACTGCACATGGACTACACAAGCATTTCCAGAAAGCTATAGTTGTCTTATGGGACAGAAGTTACCTTCAGCGAGTACAACTGTTCAGTTGGTAGGTGTTGGCGGATTAGGGAAGACTCCATTATTGCGTGTGGAAAAGCAGCCCCTTCCTTTGCATCATATGATCTCACTTGCTTTGTCTGCCTCCTGGAAGATTAAAGCCTTTGGAATCACATGGGGGAGGATACAGGGGGCTGCATCATTTGACTTTGTCAATCGCACGCTGTTTAAAGTTCTGTTCACGTCCAGTGTGAACAGAGTGGCTCCAATTCAGACATAACGGCATCATCAGAGAGTGGGTCATCATCGTGAATCAATAAGGATTAGCCGTTTAGGAGCTGTGGGTCCATTCATTTCAAATTATCATAAGCATTGGATGCCCATGTTAAATCAACCTTTTGATCTTTGGATTATATTGATTCGAGAATTCATCAAACATGTCAACCTGTCGTGTTTCTTTTATTTTCTTCCAGTGTATCTGTTACTCAAGAGAGGTAGCTTCCAACTAAAAACTCAAAACGATGAGTCATACCATGCAAATACCGACAACAAATAACATTATGAAAAGTGTAAAGAGCATCAATTCCTGCAAGGTGGCATTAGTTTAATACCAAGTGATCATCCCAATCAGCGGAATGGTTATTAAACTGAATCGTTCAACAAAATATCAAAGGACTACGAATATATAATAGAATTGGCGAAAAATATAAATATATAATAGCACTCCACCCCTAATATATATGTAATACAAGGAAAATCTATAAAAATAGAATCATGGATAATGTGATAAATAAGGAAGCTATCAACGGGGACATCAGAGAAGAGGATGATGAAATCTGAATCACAAAATTGCACGTGGGTGTTGAAATATTCTGTGTGGTAATCTTGGCCAAACCTTGAAAATTGCAGGCCATGTCATCCTGATTTTGCACCTGGTAATACATGTTAAATGCATATGAGGCATTCCCATTAGCATCCAGGTTGTTGCAAGAAGACCCATATCCAAGTGATGTACAGTCTCCAAAGGTACATGCATAGTTTATATTATCAGCAAGTTTACTGAGATCTTTGGCATTTGGGTTAAACATGCACCACTTTGAAGATAGATATTTCACATTCCTCGCTCCTACCAGTAACTTGTTTTGATTCTGACCGGAAAGATCCATTGGAAATTTTGGCTGCCCGTCATACCTGAATATTCCCCAGTGTCGCTCGAAGTTACCGGGAGAAATGCTCTTGGCATCTTCATCAATAAGTCCAAACAGATAAACTTCAATGAATCCAGGGCGAAGTGGTGTGCCTTTATTTGCTGCAAGCCGTGGTAAAAGCCCACTGTAAAACCTTAAGGCGTTGCCTACGTTGGCATTCTTGTCACCATCTGTAGGCCACCCTACTTCTCCTACCAAAATGGTCATGTCTCCATATCCCACTGCCTTCAGAGCAGAAACCAGGGTATCAAAGTTTGCATCAAACACGTTTGTGTATTGAATCCCATTATCGTTTATAGGGGTGGTAACACCATCAAAGAAAGCGTAGTTAAAAGGGAAATTATCATTCCCATAAAGACTTAAAAAAGGGTAGATGTTTACAGTGAATGGTGCACCATTCTTGTTCATAAATTGGACTATCTGGGTCATGAGATCATTTATATCAGCCCTGAATCTTCCTGCAGAAGGAACCGCATTATTTGCTGGGGACTCATACACATCAGCATTTAAGGGCACCGTGGCTTTTATGGTGTCTCCAACACCAGCTTCGTTAAGGGCATTTTGAATGTTCTGTAGTGCTGGGAATGTGATATTCAAGAATGAATTGTTATAGGATTTTAAAAATGGTTCATTCCCAACTGCTACATACCTGTAAAATATAGAAAGCATGTCATATATCACAGAAAAGATAGTATTTCTAAAATGCAAGGTTTTTCCAATCAGAAACACGAAAGTGATGAAGAAACAAGATATGAAATACAAAACCAAATGTACTTTTTTTTTTTTTATAACACGAAATTAAATGTACTTCAATAGTTCTACAGATGGGAAGAAAATTTAAAGGCCACAACAGTTTTCAACTATTCATTCTTTTACCAGCAACACCATGCTATAAGAAAGTTTAGTAACTTGTGAGATGAAGTTTCAATTGCACTTGCCACATTTGAAATATGAAGAAGATTTTGGTGTCACATCCAATTTAGTTAAGATATAGTAAAAAATTTAAGAAATCCCATGAAACAATTAAAAAAAAAATCATAGAGTAACAATCAAACTTCAACTCCAATTTAGTTGTTAGTGGAGGTGAAAGCTGCACAGACACAACAAAATCACCATACACGTTCCTGTGTTCTGATTACTTTTCTTTGCACAGACAGAACAAAGATGCCATACTCGTTCCTATGTTCTGATTTCTATTCTTTCCTAATGGACTCTAGCCTCTCTGTCTTATTCTCGTACAGTATTTTCCTCAATCTTATACAGCATATGGCAAAGTGATTCTTGCACTAAAGACGGTTCTCCTCTACCACATAAAAAGTTACTGGAAGGAGACACCACTATCAAAAAAAAAAAAAAAGGAATCTAGTTCTTGGGCGTTCCTGGGTACTATCAGATAAGCAGCGCATATTTCTCTGTTTATTTCATTTCATTTTAATGGAATACTAGACAGTGGGATTGCTATCCCCTCCTAACAAAACCTCACCTCTAAAGCTTATGGAATCGAGTTTGAATTAGGACATCCAAATTGGGAAGCACATGCATAGAGTTTGAATCCAAATCAGTAGTAATCAAACATAGAATTTCAACAAATTACAAATTATGGATGATTGAAATTCACACAAAAGAACTTCAGAATTTGTAAAATCAAGTTGATTATAGTTTCCGCCTCCTAAAAATTCCAGAACAAAGGGAAAAGGTCATTAGCAGTTTCAAAAATGTTATTTCTTGCCTTATTGTCTAATTAACATCAGCCCCCGACTTAACAATAATAATAATAATAATATTAATTTAACTGCAAGATTGAGAACACTCTGGACACAAAATAGTAATTGGCAAACAGCCCTATACTACAAATATGGTAAAGACAAAGGTGAATGCTTCATGTGATTGCATCAGAATGATATAGGAAACTCATAAAATGGGCTCACTTGATGTTAACCCCTCCTTTGAAGTTGTAACGTGTAACATTCTTTTTCACCCACTGTTTAGCTCGATCATAGTCATTCATCGCAGCAAGCTGATTATTAGGAATGGCAACCATGACTTCGATACCCGTACCAGCCAGAGCAGTCATGGTGGAATCAGCTGAATCAAACAGCTTCACCTTTTGAATTCCATTGTCCTTCAACATTTGAACCACCGTGTCTGGAGGCAACTGATGAGTGGCCTGCGTACCCCAATTCACACCAAGCCCTTCCGCGTGACGACTCATGATCCAAACCAACAATGCCCATTTCAAAATCCAAATCTTTTCCATTCGCTCACCGTTTCCCTATTTCCCCAGCAAAACAATAAGGGGAGAGACGAAGAAATAATAAGATAGAGAAAAAGAATATTTATTTGCTACAATTCTCCTTTCTTTCTATAAAGAATGAGAAAAACAACTGTTTCTGTGAGTGGGTAGTGAAATCAGCGAATTTTTAGGGATACTATACCCCCACGATTCGAAAAATGAGACGGCTAGACAGGGGAAAAACTCGGGGGGGGGGGGGGGGAGCGTTTAGCTATTAAAAAATAAATAGTGTCAGTGTGTGTGTAATGATGGCAAATGAGCAAAGCCGAGATGCAGATCTTCCACAATTCTCGTCCCGTCGGCCGTGTTTGCGGGGTGAGAACCGCCAATGCGCTACCCAATTGCCGAAATCGATCAGTGTCGATTAAACCGAATTGGTCTCTTATGATTTGAGAAACAGAACGGCCAGAGGAGTTCGGTTTGAAATGGGAACAGAGAATATATCACCAGTTACGCCTGTGGAACAAGAAAAATTAATGGGAGGACACGGTGAGAAACAGAGTAGAAACACAAAACGAAGATGAATGACAATGGGGTACAAGAGAAAAAAGAATAGAGGAAATTGACAGGAAGAGATTGAATATTCCCCGGTGGACAAAAAGACAAATACCGCACGACGGGGTAATCTGAACAGAGGATTAGGGTTCTGCAAAGATTTAACGGTTACAAATTACAAAAGGGAGCTCAAATGCAGGAACAAATTTAAAAAAAAAAAAAAACAAATAAAAACCAGAAGGAGCGAGCAAATAAAATAACTGAATATGATGATATCACGATCCACGAGTTTCTAAACGGCCTGAGGGACTGAAAGATTAGAAAAACGCGTGAAGGAAGGGAAACAAGTGAAAAAAGAATGAGCTTTTCTTGGAAGGAGGAATTTTTGGTTTTTGAAAACGAATAGGAGTGATTCGGGAGCCCAGCTGTCCCCGCGGTTTTCCTTGGGAAAAGAGATATTAGTTTGATTTGGTTTCTTCTGTAACATCAGTAACGGTAGTTTTTTTTTTTTTTTCCTATTTTTTTATTTTTTTACATACTACCATTCATATTTTTATTATTATATGATACTTCTTTTATTTAAAAATATAAAATATTTTTAATTAAATTTTACCTCTTAATGAAATAGTTACTTACTTTTTAATTAATTTTATTTTTTATATTTATTTTTATTAAACATCTATAATAAATATAAAGTCATTATCAATAGGGGTACTTTAAAAAAAATACAATGATTACATCTCAAAAAATTAAAAATATCTTATATTTTTTATCATTCAATTTTTTAAAAAATATCTTACATTTTTTAATAGAGGGAGTACTTTTTAAAAGAATTTTTTGGTCTTAAATATAAATCACTTGATAAAATATTAATTATATTTTTTAAATATTATTTTTATTTAAAATCATTAATTGAGAGAGAATGTAATGTCACTTTAATTTTTTTATTTAAATAAAAAAATAAAAGTTTATCATATTTTTAAATAAATTTAATAACTTAATCATTTATATTTGATTTTGGTAAATTAGTTAGGGGTATCTTATAACAGTGAAAGAAAAGAATAGATATTGAAGCAATAGCACAATGAGAAACTTTTAGGTAAACAGAACGTGCAATATCGGCAATACATTTTTTTTTTGGAGGAAAAAAAACTGCATATTCTAAAATATAGGGGGACGTAACAAATGTTAACAAATGTTAGTATCTATCCATTTGACCGAAAATTCGAATGCACGCATGTACTGACTTGTTTTTAGCATTTGAATTCTTTGCAACCTTTTCCTGACTTCAAAAGAAATACACCAGTTTTTTGAGAGCGGACGGTTAGGGGAAGGCTGCTTGCTTTCAATTTTTTTCCCCCCTCCAAATAAAGCTAACAATTGAAGAGGCAGAGTTATTAATGCGCGACTCGAGCAAGTTCTTAAAATATATTTTAGTCTACATTCTTTATTTTTAAACATAATCAATATAATTAATTTGAAGGACGATCAGGGAATTACCATCACCCATGTCCTTAAAATATACTTGTTATTAGTGCGCGGCTCTAGCGAGTTCAGCTTACGAAAGTGAGCCAGAGCGTCCGAGTTCCAATCACAGGCACACCCTCCATTTTTATTTTCAAGAGAAGCTATTATTTTTAATTTTTGTATATAAATAAAATTACGTTTTTTAATAAAAATCTATTATAAATTTTTTTAAAATATCTCTCATAATTTTATTATTCATAATCATAAAAAATATTTAATAAAAATTTAATTAACACAATTAATAAAAATATATTTATCTGAATTATTTATTTTTAAATATAATTAATTAATTTTTTAACTGTGTGATATCTTTTATAAATAAAAATAGAAGGAGTACATGCATGATAGGACAAAAAAAAATTATATTTTATTTTTAAAATTATTAAACTACACCCAATCATTCTAATGAAATCAATTTTTGTACGCTACACTTATTTTTAAGATTTTGGCCTTTAAAAAGAAGACTAAAAGAATGATAGTCGTTATCAAAATTTTAAAAAAAATCTTGAAAAATCGTTTAAAGAAGAATAAGAATGGTCTGCGAAAAAAAACAAATAAGTTCGGGAGTCGATTGAGTGTAGAAAAGATATTAGGCACCCTACAACACTCTTTCGTAAGAACGGTTACCTAAATTTTATTGTGCTAAATTAATATGATTTTAAAGTTATTTTAATTATCCCTTTCTTATTCATGTATTTGATATAAAAATAATAATAATTAAGTGAAAATATTTATTTATTTACGAGGGAGGACTTGACTCAGAATCTGACTTTGAGGCCTACATATCCTGTGATGGGGATCAAAGTCCACGTAATTCAAGTTTGAAAATAATTGATGAAAATATTTTTTAAAGAGAAATTAATTAAAAATAATTCATCATTTTATAAATAAAATAATTTTTTAAATTTTGATTTGTGTGTTTTAAATTGCAACAAGTAATTTAATTTTAATTATTTTCTCAATTTTTAAATTTTTGAAATAAAGAAAAGAAAAGAGTTTAAAATTTATTTTTTATATATTTTATGATTGGCAATTTAAGCGTAGTACCTGCAGAGCCTTATTAATTCATACGACAATACGATTGTTCTAAATATTTATGAAGATTCTGAAATCTTACACGATAAAAAATTTTAACAACTTAATTAATTTATTTATATTTAAACATATATATATATATATATATTAAATATTCTTAATCATTATACCTGCAGAGCCTTATTGACCTATATGGTAATATGATTATCCTAAATATCTACAGAGAATTTCAAAATCTCACCCAATAAAGAAATTAAATTTATTTAAATACATCTTTAATTTAATTAATTTAATATATAATTTATATATATATATATATTTTTAAAAACTTAATCGTTATATCTACAGAGTCTTATTGACTCATATGATAACACAATTATCTTGAAAGTCTATGGAGATTTAAAAATTTCACATGACTAAAATATATAATCGGTAAATGTGATTACAACTTAAATTCATTAATTTGATTAATTAATTTTTTTAAATTGTGTCATATGATTATTTACAAAAATCACTTATTTATTATAGAAATTGAGAATCACTATATTTGCGAAGATTTATTATCTCACATGATAATGTGATTAATTTAAGTCCTTACGAAGATTCTTAAAATTTTACATGAAACTTAAGTAAATCATTTAGATTATAAAAAGATAGTTAATTTTAATGGTGGATCATTGAAACCCCTGTTTACTTTATATAAATTGGATCTTTATACCTACAAAATCTTGTTGATTACACGGTAAATGATCATTTTAAATGCCTGTGAAAATTCTTAAAATCTCACACAACAAGTAAATAATTAGAAAGAAATCTTCTCTTATTCATTTCATTTTTTTAATTAGATAAGAATTAAATTCTCTCCCCTCAACCTTTTATAAAATAGGCCTGTCATAATAATTGAAATCGTATATGTTGATGGAAAGTGTCATATGATATGAGTGTAACAATATTATAGATAAGTAAAGGACCCTAGGACTAATACAGAGATGAAAAATCATGCCCCTACATATTAATATGCCCTTTCATGCTAAAAACATATTTAAAGTTTAATTCAAAAACCCTGTCTGACAATCACACTAATTTTTCATCATTGGAAACAACACTATAATAAGATTATGCCAAAATCATACTAGGCCAGTTAAGACAATAAGTAAAATTTTCCTTGAGGATTTTTCCATGTATAGTATCTAGGCACATATTGCAATAAGAATCAAAACTCACAACATTTAAAACTCAAAAATGTTTTCTCCTAAACTGCACTTACAAGCACACACTAGCTCGAAGTTATAAATTATAAGACAATTCTAAATAACACTTTAATCAAAAATCTTGGAAGTTTCCCAACAACATGTCAGCTATTAGAATGTGAAATAGCCCTTAACTAAAATCAGAAACTCAATCCAATACTTAATTTTATTCATCACAAAGCAAGGCAAATCATTTGAACAGAACGCATAATTTATCATGTTCATTCAGCAATAAACCAGCAGCAATCATTAAGAGAAAAGAAAAAAAAACTATATCAAATGATGTCTTCTTCTCCTTCAAACTTTGATTTGATTAGTCTTTGGTTGCTTCCTCTGCTTCTGGCCGGATCATTCTCAATTCAAAGGTAAACCATTTCCTTGAAAACTCTGGTTTTGTTATTTTACATCCTCTCTAACTCCTCTCTTTGGTCTATCTCTTCTTCTCACTTTCTCTATTTTTTCTTCAGAAAACCCATCCTTTGATCTCCATCCCCTCTTCTCCGTCTCTTTTTTTCAGATCACTCTCTCTCCAGGACTCTCAGTCGCCTCCTGTTTCTCCCTCTCTCTTTTTTCAAAAAGTTCTCTCTCTCTCGAACTCTTGGTCATCTTTGTTTCTCCCTCTCTCTTTTTTTCAGAAAGCTCTCTCTCTCTCAAACTCTCGATCGTCTCTGTTTCTCCCTCTCTGTCTCTGTTTCTCTCTTTCTCTCCAGGTACTCTCTTCCCCTTGTCTCTTTCTCTCCATCCATATTTCTCTCTTTCTCTCCAAACATTCTCTTCTCTTTGTCTCTTTTTCACTACTGCGTTTGTGCTTATGCTCTCCTTCTCTTTTTTTTCTCTCGTTCTCCTTCATCGTTTTCATCTGGTTTTCGTGCCCCTTATCACTGAAGCTCTCCTTTCTTAGTTTTTCTCTCCTACTCTCGGTCTCTCCCTCTTGTTTTTTCTTATCTCATGCTCTATTTTTGCTTCCCCCCTGTAACTTTCAAGTGTGCATGTTATAACAGTGGTAGCCCCTCGAGTTTCAACTCCAACCCTGCCTTTAACTTCTCCTCTCTGCCGTGCACGCCTCTTCTATCTGCTCGCACTGAAAGTGGCTGTGTGTACGTCTACTCTGCTCCTCTCAATCGCACGCGAGTCTATTCCTTGTATTCATCTCTCTTCTCTACCTTCTCTTTTGACTCAATTGTGATGTGCGTTTGCATGGCTGTGTTCGCGTGTTTGTCAAGTCCTTTTAGAGCTGCTTTCTTTCTGTGTGTTTCGTGTGTGCATGCTACTGTGTCTGGCTTAAAGTGTTTTACGTGGCTGTGTGGCTATTTGGTTTTGCTTTTTTCTTCTGTGTCGAAGGTGTGAAATCTTTTTTTTTTGTTTTGGCTGGGTGAAATGCCATCCAGCCTTATATTATATTTTTTTTGGTTTCTAATTTCTTTCTTTTTTCTTTTTAGATTAACACACACGTACATATATGTATATTTTTTTAAAATAAAAAAATAAGATTTAAGGAGAGAAATTTAACTTTCAAAAGTTGACTCTCAATATTTTTGAATGATTGGGATAATTTGGGAGAGATGTTTAAGCAAGATTATTT